TTGTAGAATACTCTTAACTGCGTTTTTGGCGAGCAACTAATTAGTAACAAAATATCCAGCAGTTTTAAACATCTGCGTGCAAATTCGAACCGTCTACTATTTTTAAGTGAGTAGAGGGGATGGATCTGAGGTTAGGGGATGATTGTAGAATACTCTTAACTGCGTTTTTGGCGAGCAACTAATTAGCAACTAAATATGCCGCGTCTATTTTCCACCTACGAGAATTTTCCGATATCGTCCTATTCTGGGGTGGTTGCAGGGATGATCTGGAGTTAAGGGTTGATAATTAAATACTATAAGCAACGCTATTTTGCAGCAACTAATTAGCAACATAATATCCAGCAGTTTTAAACATCTGCGTGCGAATTCCAACCATCTACTGTTTCTAAGTGAGTAGAGGGGATGGATCTGAGGTTAGGGGATGATTGTAGAATACTCTTAACTGCGTTTTTGGCGAGCAACTAATTAGCAACTAAATATGCCGCGTCTATTTTCCACCTACGAGAATTTTCCGATATCGTCCTATTCTGGGGTGGTTGCAGGGATGATCTGGAGTTAAGGGTTGATAATTAAATACTATAAGCAACGCTATTTTGCAGCAACTAATTAGCAACATAATTACCAGCAGTTTTAAACATCTGCGTGCGAATTCCAACCATCTTCATTTTCTAAGTGAGTAGAGGGGTTGGATCTAAGGTTAGGGGATGATTGTAGAATACTCTTAACTGCGTTTTTGGCGAGCAACTAATTAGTAACAAAATATCCAGCAGTTTTAAACATCTGCGTGCAAATTCGAACTGTCTACTATTTTTAAGTGAGTAGAGGGGATGGATCTGAGGTAAGGGGATGATTGTAGAATACTCTTAACTGCGTTTTTGGCGAGCAACTAATTAGTAACAAAATATCCAGCAGTTTTAAACATCTGCGTGCAAATTCGAACCGTCTACTATTTTTAAGTGAGTAGAGGGGATGGATCTGAGGTTAGGGGATGATTGTAGAATACTCTTAACTGCGTTTTTGGCGAGCAACTAATTAGCAACTAAATATGCCGCGTCTATTTTCCACCTACGAGAATTTTCCGATATCGTCCTATTCTGGGGTGGTTGCAGGGATGATCTGGAGTTAAGGGTTGATAATTAAATACTATAAGCAACGCTATTTTGCAGCAACTAATTAGCAACATAATATCCAGCAGTTTTAAACATCTGCGTGTGAATTCGAACCATCTACTATTTTTTAGTGAGTAGAGGGGTAGTATCTGAGGTTAGGGGATGATTGTAGGATACTCTTATCTGCGTTTTTGGCGAGCTACTAATTAGCAACAGAACATCCAGCAGTTTTAAACATCTGCGTGCGAATTCCAACCATCTTCATTTTCTAAGTGAGTAGAGGGGTTGGATCTAAGGTTAGGGGATGATTGTAGAATACTCTTAACTGCGTTTTTGGCGAGCAACTAATTAGTAACAAAATATCCAGCAGTTTTAAACATCTGCGTGCAAATTCGAACTGTCTACTATTTTTAAGTGAGTAGAGGGGATGGATCTGAGGTAAGGGGATGATTGTAGAATACTCTTAACTGCGTTTTTGGCGAGCAACTAATTAGTAACAAAATATCCAGCAGTTTTAAACATCTGCGTGCAAATTCGAACCGTCTACTATTTTTAAGTGAGTAGAGGGGATGGATCTGAGGTTAGGGGATGATTGTAGAATACTCTTATCTGCGTTTTTGACGAGCAACTAATTAGTAACTAAATATCCCGCGTCTATTTTCCACCTACGAGAATTTTCCGGTATCGTCCTATTCCGAGGTGGTTGCAGGGATGATCTGGAGTTAAGGGTTGATAATTAAATTTTTTAAACAACGCTATTTTGCAGCAACTAATTAGCAACGAAATACGCCGTAGTTTATATTCTCTGATGAGCTCTTTTTAATTTTATCGTATTTCGGGGGTAGTGTGGGTGCTGGTGCGGCAATTAAGGGATGATGGGGGGATAATACAAATAATGCTGTCCTACAGCAACTAATTAGCAACTAAATATGCCGTTTGCAGAACTTCGATATCTTTACGAGAACCGAAGATACAGTATTGTGGTCTGCTAGGTTAAGACTTAATCTAGCAGATCGCATGTATCTTTTACAGGTGTTGAGCAACTAAATCGGGAATAGTGTAACTAATTAGCAACTAATTAGCAACTAAATATGCCGTTTACAGAACTTCGATATCTTTACGAGAACCGAAGATACAGTATTGTGGTCTGCTAGGTTAAGACTTAAGCTAGCAGATCGCATGTATCTTTTACAGGTGTTGAGCAACTAAATCGGGAATAGTGTAACTAATTAGCAACTAATTAGCAACTAAATATGCCGTTTGCAGAACTTCGATATCTTTACGAGAACCGAAGATACAGTATTGTGGTCTGCTAGGTTAAGACTTAAGCTAGCAGATCGCATGTATCTTTTACAGGTGTTGAGCAACTAAATCGGGAATAGTGTAACTAATTAGCAACTAATTAGCAACTAAATACCCAGTAGGTTAGATGTGCGCGTTGCGACCATGGTCTGCTAGCTTAATATACGTCGCCGCATGGCGGCCAACCGCTAGTGCGTTATAGGCCTTCAATGTCCTGTCGATTTACTTTGACTATTGTTGACTTTCCATTGTCATCAATGGATCGGCGGCGATAAAGTGGATATCCATCATTTCCAGTAATAGTTTCTGCTACTAATTGTTTTGGGTAGCGTTTTGAACATTTTCCTTCAACCATACACGAAGAAATGGGATTTAATATTCCACATGGACCATGTATCATATTTTTTGTAATAACCTTATGTAACAGTGGGTCTTCATTATTATCGGGAATTTCTGCTGATATCACATTATCAATTTCATTTGGTCTTATCCTCTCAACCAACCAAATGAGGATATGTGCATGTGGCAATCCGCGTTTTTGCCACTCAACTGAGTACATCCAACAGCGCGTCTCGCCGAACAGGCGATGCTTAACAATGAAATCCATGAGTGATTTTAATTTCATTTTGAACACCCTTGCAGTGATATCGTGGCGATCAATAGGTGATTGTCTAGTAAATAATTCTTGTTGAATTTCGGTCCACTTTGGATTGCATGTGAACGTGATAAACAAATCTGGTGTGCCATAATGTCGTACATAGGACATCGCATCTTGCGCATATTCATGCATATGGCGCGGACTTCCGACGTATGTTGCTGGGAGAATAGTTGTTCTGCCAACATTCTGTGCTAGGACTGTTGATATTTTTTAAAATATCGTATTCTCGATATATCGATATTTTAAAATATATCAATATCGGAGTTTGATATATCGAAAAAAAATATCGATATTTCGATAGATCGATATTTTTTTTGATTTTATTTTATAGGCTTTCGTTTAAAAAAAACAATCCTAAGTCGTCTCAGAAATTATTTACACAGTTTTTAATTCAGTATATTTATTAAACAAATTAAATTATAAATGTATGAAAATGTTAGGTTCTTAACAATTATTGTTGAATTTTTATTAAACAACTATGCATACCAATATTTCTCAGTAAGAGTTTTCAAAAACACTCGTTGTTTTATATGTTCAGCTGTTTGACTACTACGATTATTAGGCACTAAAAGATTGATTGTAGAAGCAATTCGTTCAGATGCTACACATGTAGCAGATGAAATCAAATATTTAGCAGCTATTTCTGATAACACTGGTGTAAAATGACTACTATCTATCCAAAATTTTAGTGCATTTGATGACCTTGAAATATTTGGCTGATCTAAATACTGTTTTAATTCAGCAGGCATTGCACTAAAACTTTTACCAAAAACTTCATTAGCATTGGACATATTTTTCAAGAGCATATCTTCATGTCTGTCCCATAACGATGAAGTTGTTTATTTTTCTACACGTGGAGAAACACCAACTGTAGGTGAACGATTCCCTCTTATTTTGTGTTCTGCAATTATTTCTTTTGATAGATCTGTTATTGCATTAGCAGCGGCCATTGCTGACATGAAATGTAACTTTTTGAAGCGGGGATCTAAGATAGTTGCTTTGGCCAATATACACTATGAACGAATTTAAGAATAATTAAAATAAGACGCCAACCGCACTCGATGAAATCCCGCCAAAAAACCTTTGCTCGTATTAATCACCGACTACAGAGTAGTACAGAGACAGACCATAGATAATGAAAACTTATTTTTAAAAAATATCGACCGTCGATATTCATATTTCAATATCGAAGTATCGATATATCGCCCAAAATAATATTAGTAATAAAAATCGATATTTCTAAAAAATAATATCGATATTTCGATATATCGATATTTTATCAACAGTCCTATTCTGTGCATTTCCATCAGCATTAATGGCATCCCGAAGATGAATGTATTTCTCGGAACGGAGTTTTGCCTTGTTCAACCTGATAAATGTCAATCGTTCAGTTTCAACTTTCACATACATATCCACAGCATATTGGTGAAATAGACGCCGACACTTTAAGATGTGATTGTCCTCATTTTGCCGAACCATCAGTCTGTATGAATAATAATTCATTGAACTAACTTTTTTGTTCGTTTCAGCACCTGTAAACAATTTTTTGTGTTAATAATATAAAGTTTAAGTTAGTAAACATATATTGTTAATTTACCTGTAACTGGATATATCATCTTAATTGAAAAATGACAGCCGTCTTCACCTTGCCAAAATAGGATAGGATATTGTAAAGCATCATAAGATCGATGTGTTTCAGACATACGCTGAAGTTGATCGTTCCGCCGATGTAAAACAATATCTCGGTTTTCTAAATTTTCTCCTACGACGACAATAGCCACTTCATCAATTGTTGGCGCATTAAAATGTCCAGCATGTTGTCCTGCAGGCGCCTTATCGACTCTGATGACAATTTTATGATTATCTGATGGCATGCGGTCTAATGCAGTTGTGAATAATGCAACTAATTTATTGTGTTGATGGAAAAATGTTTAAAGTTGTTCCACAATGGATCTTTTCACTGAGTTGTTGTGTGCGCAACGCTGATCGACTTCTCTCGCTGAATTGCCCATAAAATATATTTGCAAAAATTTATAGTCTTCATCAGGCACTGGCAATAAGGAACCTGTTCTATGATATATTTGACCCTGAATCTGCAAGAATATAAATATGTATTTAGGTAATTGTATAGCAAATTGTTTGTACCACCATGTGGCTCGCAAAATACTGCCACAATACTTTACATCATTTCAAATTAAAACTACTTTAAACCTTGACATTGAACAGCAGCCTTCCATGGCAGCTATAGGTAGTAGGCTTTACCAAGTATTGGGACCCCTTGCTCATGCCATTTTGAAATACAACATGTTATAAAATGTTGCTGATTAAGTCATTGGGTTATAGACTATTATTATGTATTTGACTTATTGTTTACAAAATAAACACGTCTACACAACACTGGCTCAGCATATTTTGCACCAGCTACATGGTTGTATAACTAAATAAAATTGTTTGCCATTATACTTACTTACCTTGAAAGTAGGTATAAAATTGTCTCGAATAACTTTTGTTGCGCCAAATGACGTCATTTGAAAACAATTATTGTATTGCTGGATATGAGTCAAAAAATGATTAGAATCTGGCCCATTTCCGGAAACCAATGAATGTAGTGGCTCTGGTGGTGGTACCAATGGCGTCAATTTGACTCGGCCGCTGGCGCAACACAATCCAGGGGCTTCATTTTTGAATTTCAATGCATTGCAATGTGGACACACAATATTCATTAGTCCAATAGCAACAATTTTCTCTGAACTGTAATCAATTGCAACATTATAACTGAATGCAGCTCTGTGGGGATTAAACACAACATTTCTATGTTGATTTCGATTCCGTTGAAGTTCATTTCGCGCTTCGCGTTGCTCATCAGTTTGATTTGCTCTTATATTTCTTTGACTTGCCGTATTTCGAGTGCTGCGGCCTAAGTTTGTACGTCTGGTTGGTGGCATTGTTAAAAACGAAAATCCAACTGAAAATATACTTTTTTTTTCTGTATAACCATGTAAAATTGTAATATTGTGTAGTCACCAAAAGTTACCAAAAATCGATATGAAGTGAAGTGAACTTACCGTGATTAACAAACACTTATTAGCAAACAAAAAACTTCTTAGTCTTTAAAACAAAACGAACTTTATCAAAAACTTAATAAAATTATTGTTAGCGCGGTTATGGATGTGTTGTCACAGATTACCACAATTTTTTTTGTTTTAAATTGAATGACGTTGACATTCGTTACGTTATATTTTTCAATCTTTCTGAGAGATTTTCTTTATATTTTTTTCCGTAAGAACCTTGTACAGAGTATTAGAAAACTACAAAAAAAAATCAGCCAAATCGGTCAAGCCGTTTTCATGTTATGTCGTGACAACGGATAACGGGTTTCATTTTTATATATATAGATAATAATATTATTATCCAATCAGACAGTTGCATCACCTGAGACTGATCTGCGTCGTGGGCTTGATGGCAGAACTAAGTTAGGATCATTGGGTTCTTCAAAATCAATATTGCAAAATGGATCTTCTTTATCTAACTGAATGGCATACCGTTTCAATACGTTAACTAAAGGCTCATCATCTGAAGAACTAAAATCATCCCTTTTGCTGTTCTCCAACGAAATCTGATTAACTTCTTCTGTCATAACAACGGTTCCGTAGTATCACTTATTCTTATAAAACATCTTTACGAGGCACCAATACGAGTAACGTTATCTCCTTGAACAAGGAACTTTGTAGAAACAAAGTTCCTTGTTCCATCATTCCTCTTTACAATGACGTCCATTTAAAAAAAAAAAGATCTGTTAAAAAATAAAGCAGGCGATAATTACTACGAATCAATAAAATAGAAGCAAATAAAGGTTTAACATACCCACGGTAACAAGTTCAAACACGTTTTCGGTCGGGTGCAGCGACACAAACACACTACCATACCCATCGTCGTTCGCGCTAAACTAAGGCACGGTGGGCGACTGGCAAGTCAGACGCTCTCTCCTTTTTTTTTTTTTTTTTAATATGCAGGTAAAAAAATCTATTTACAGACGACGGCGCCTTTAAGAGGCACACCGCCGAACGGACCTCACACCTGGCTCCCGCAAGTCTTACGAACCCCACAGTGGCTGCCCACCGAGGACCCCACAACTCTTACGGGCGCTTTACGTTATAATATCCGCTAAAAAAGTCCTGCGAATACCCTCTAAGCTGCTTAGTGCGAAACTGCGGGATCCCCGTTTAGGGATTCTTCCGCGTCTCCGCACCCAGCATCCTCCCGGCCTAGCCGGGGCTCCACGGCAGGGGTCTCCCGAGGTCTTGCGGAGACCCCGCAGACGTGCGCAGGATGGCCCGCGCGTGGGGGCAAAATACGCGGCCTAGTGCCCACCGTACCGCCCCCCGTCCGCTGCGGAGGACTACTTGGGCGTGCCCGTGTAGCTCCCTCCGCCGCCCCCCTCTTTGCAGGACAGAACTACAAGATGGGGGCTGCCGTCAGGGGATCCCTCGGTGGCCGGCACGGCACAATGCGCCGTACCGGCCAGCTAGGGATCCCCGCGGGCAGGGTCATGGGACGGGCGTAGCCAGGGCACGCACTCGTCCTCTTCTGCCCGCTCTTCTTCGGCGGGAGGGAGCGGCCAGCGAATCATCCTCCCGCTCCCTCTCGGCTGCCTCCTTCTGCGAGATAACGTTCTCGCAGAAGGAGGCAGCTGCCTCCCATGCCGACTCGCTACGGAGCATGGCCTCTACCATGCTCCGCAGCGAGAGGGTTCCGCCTCCCAGCGCCGCAATCAGGTCGCGGCGCTGCTGCCGCCAGGCCGAGCACTCCAGCAAGGTGTGCTCAGCCGTATCGTCCGGGGCGCCGCAGTGATGACACTGCGGCATTTCCTCCCGACGGGCGACATGGTACAGGTAGTGACCGAAGCATCCGTGCCCAGTCAGTACCTGCACCATGCGGAACGAGAGGCCGCCGCGCCGGCGACCCACCCACTCCTCCTACACCGGACGAATGGCCTCAATCGTCCGGTGGCCGGCGCTTACATGGGCGAGTGCCTCATCCCATCGCCGCAAGGCCTCTGCTTGCGCGATGGAACGGACCTGCCGCAGCTCTGCTGGGGCAGGTCTTTCACCCCGCTCCCTGGCTTCGACCCGACCTCGATGCACATCCCACGGCGTCATACCCGCGAGTACGCAGGCGGCGCCGTGGCTGACCGTGCGGTAAGCTCGCACGACCCGGGCCGCGATGGTCCTCTGCGGTCGTCGCAGCAGGGCCATCGTGCGGGGTTTGAGGCACTCTGCCCAAACCGGGGCTCCATAAAGTGCCATCGATCGTATCACCCCGTGATACAGTCGACGGCACGCATCTCCTGGTCCCCCCACGTTTGGGAGGACCCTGCCGAGTGCGGCTGCGGCGGCGCACAGCCGTGGAGCGAGGAGCTTAAAGTGCTCCTCGAAACTCCATCGGGGATCCAACACCAGGCCGAGGTACTTCAGGCTTCCCTTGACCGGTATACGGACCCCCTCCACCCGGATATGGAGCCCCGGTTGGGTGCTGCGGCGTAGGCTGTGGAACAGCATGGCCCTCGTTTTATCGAGGGCCACATCCAGGCCCAGGAGGCGGATGCGTCGGACGGTTAGCGCAGTGCCTACCGACGCCAAACGAACCGCCTCCTCTGCCGACTTTGCCTTCGCCGCGACCAATGTGTCGTCGGCGAAGCAGGCAACCTCCATATTGGGGAGGAGGCTGCCTCGCAGCACCCAGTTGTACCCCAGGCTCCAGAGCAGTGGAAGACGCTCTCCCCCTGCCTCCCCCGCGTTTCCAAGTCATTTATGACTAACGCAACTCAGCAAAACTCAATATTTTATAAAAATCAAACGCTTAAATGACGGCACTAGAAATAAATATCCTCAAAAAAATATCATTAAATGTCGTATAATATCATATGCCACTAAAAACAAAAAAATATATTTATAATGGATTTCACTAACCGTCGTATGTCATTTACTTAAATTAATCATATTTGATTTTTTCATCTAAGCAGATACGTCAACAGTGCAGGTAGCTCTATTTTTACAACCGCGATAGATAGAGAAATGACGAATAGTGGGATACGTTTGAAAATTAATTTTAAATAAGTTCATGTATTTAAGTCAGTTTTGATAAAAATGTCAGTTAAGACAGTCATGCGAGAGACGATATGTCCAAAGATGTATACCATCTGGACCCGTAATAACTTCTGAGATTTTTTTCCTACTAACTTATGTGGTATAGCAACAATACCAGCACCAGTATCAATAAGAAACTTTAACGTAGAATTATATTTTTCAGCAACTACCTCAACATCTAGTAGAAATTCTTAATATTCTCCCTCCGTATGGTTGATTATCTTGTCTTTACAACACCTTGCAAAATTTCGCGTCTTACACTTGCGACATGTCTCCCTAGCTGCAGGACACCGTAGCTTCCCATGGATCTCATCTCTGCCACACCACCAACACTTCTTTCGCCTACTCTCTTCTTTATCTATTTTGTTCACCTTCCAACTATTTTCCTCTTTGTTCCATATGACTTTGCCTCATTTTTCTGTTCTTCCGCTTGACAAGCCAGCTTATATGCGTCTTCCAACGATAACGACGTCATCAATAGCAATCTCTCACTTGTTCTCCGATCATCCATACCAACAATTATTCTATCACAAATCAATTCTTCTTTCAGTGTACCATAATCACAATTTTCCGCCAGCTTATGCAACTCTTTCACAAAATCAGCCACCCTTCACCTTCTTTTTGGCTTCTAATATTTAATTTATACCTTACAAAAATAACATTATTTTTGCGATAAGATGTATTCATCCAATTTTGATGTGAAACGTCTATAGACGTACGTAAAACCGATTTCTGGCGTGGCGACGCGTTGCCACGCTAAATGACGGTAGGTATTTACAGACTATATTCAGTAGTGGAAAGCAAACTCACACTATAACACATTATCAAGTAATCAGTAAGTTAATTATATTTTTTAAATTTAAGTGTACATTTATCTGTGCATTGGAGGCGTTCGATGGCGTAGGTGGTTAGCGCGTTCGGCTGCGAAAAAAACACATCAACTAGTTGATATGCGCAGTTTTCAGGTTTTCCTGGTTGGCACACAATACTTTATAGTCCTCTTTCATCTTTCCGTCGTTTAATATTGCCTCTAAATTGGATAGTTCTTCGATATTTCGTATAGATTGTAAACATAATCGGTTATTATCAGGTGTTTTCTTTATAACATCATTTAATTTAATAACTTGTGGTTTATATTTTGAAGTTATAAAAGTATCAAATTTCATCGAGATATTAGCAATGGCCATCAATATGTTTTGCTAGTTTTCCAATACTTTTTTATAATTCTCTTTTAGTAATGCCAGATCATTCAAAATTGCTTCCTGATTTTTGTAGATCTCAACTTGGTTGCTTGTAATTTTCTCCAAATCTGAAGGGTCAATAGCTACTACGGGAACAGAAGGAGTTTCATTGTTAACAGTAACCACAGATGTAGGTTCATTTACAGCAACAGCATATAAGGATTACTGAATCTGGGTTAATTCTGACGGATTTGACACTGTAGCAGCACCACGATTTAAGGCCTAAAAATAAGGAAAACATTTCCACTATAGCCAAAAATAAAAGAAATAAACGTATGCCTTAACTTCAAAAAATTTTTAACAAAAATAAAAACCGACTTCATAAAAACAAAACCACTTAAAAGTAAGAAAAATAATAAATATTCTTTACTCTGAAGTCAGTCGTCTGTGGAATACACAAACGACTGTCATCCCGATAGTAATAGGCGCAACAGGAATAGTCGCTAAAAGTATTAAAAAGTACATAGATAAATTAGATAGCAGAATTGACATCAGCATCCTTCAAAAACATGCAGCCATACACACATCAATCATACTCAGTAAAGTTTTGGGAGATAC